ATGCGCGGCGTCTGAAAAACGGCTGCCACGTTTCGCCGTGAAGCCGGCTCTCAGCTGTCACGTTGTTAAAACGTCTAAAATTTAAACTTTTTTTAAATTCTAAAACAATGAATACTTCGAACTGCTGAAAAAAGCCGGCTGTCAAATCCTAAGATCACAATAATCTTGAGAATTCGAAAAAAAAGTATCGAAAATCCAAAAAATCCTGAAAATTTTAAAAGTCCTTTAATATTTAAAATAAGATCAGAAAGCTAGAAAAAAAACCAACCTTTACAATTTAGAAAAAAACTAGAAACCTGAAAATACGAAAAATAGAAACTTCAAAAACTCAAAATTTTGAAAATTTTCAAAATTCTTAAAATTTGTTTCGACAATCTTGAAATTTTAGGATTTAAACTAATTTTAGAATTTTTTGAGTGTTCAGGAATTTTAGATTTTTTAGGACTTTTAAAAAACTTTTTTAAATCTCGACGTTTTCGTTTTCCGGTGAAAAACGGCATTTCTCCATCCCTGTCTATATATAACCCAAATCTCTTTTTTTTTTCAGAAATCCAACCCCACTCCATCGGAACCATCCAAGCCAGCAGCTGCTGCCAAAGTCAAGAATGCGACGATTTGCGATGATGAGCCAGCCACATCGAAACTTCCTCCATCACCGCCATGTATTGTGATGCCGCCGGATGTGAAGCCAGCACCACCTCCACCAGCGCCAGTTGTGAAGCCAGCAGCCCCGCCAGTTCTGGTTGTTAGCCCAGCCCCAGTCACCACGGATCCTTTGACCCCCTACTCACCAGCAACACTGAATTCGACATTGTCGTTCACGGAGAAATGGATGGGAGAGGAGACGGCGAAGATCTGGCTCGAGAAGGTGGACTTCTTGAAGACGAAGCAAGAGTTTGAGCAGATCCAGAACGTGGTGGTGCCAGTGGATGCTTGCAAGAAGTGGAAAGCCAACAGGGCTCTCAACCAACCACCACAGGACGATTTTCCAGTTTTGGACGCGAATCTGGTCGTCTTCGAGAACACATACGTCAACATGTCAGCCATCGATGTCGCCCTTCCAAAATCCAAGATATTCATGTGCCAAATCCCTCTCAAAGGATCGGAGGAGGCATTCTGGAAGACGGCGTTCGACAGGCAGATATCGTACATGGAGATCATCACGGATCAAGAACCTATCGAGTTTTTCCCGATTGGAAATGGAGAACACGTGTACCATGGAACGATGTTTGTCAATAATCGACGGGTGGAAGCGGTCAGCGAAGACGTGACGCGTTTTGCGATCGAGGTGTTGCCGGAGGGATGTTCCAACTCAATCATCTGCACCATCACAATAGTCAAGAATTGGTCGCCAGACAGTGTCCATGCAAAACAAGCGGTGGTTATCAAGGAGATTATTGAGATGACAACGTTCTTGACAAAGGTAAGAGGGTTACTGTATGGGTTGCTTTAACCAAGTTTGAATTTCAGACAAAGGATGAGAACGCGCTGGTGATGCAAAGCATGGAGCCGGGCGAGCTGGATACTTCGTCGCTTTGGCTGTGGTCGTTCACAAGTTGGATAAGGCGACGGAGCCACCGATTCAGGAAATTGTCAAATCGCTTCGAGGACAGAGGCCAAGAGCAGTGGAGTCGTTGACACAGTATGTGTCTCTCTACACGACACTCTTTTATTACACTAAGGTGAATCTGAGATTTGAGAATTCTAAAATCCAGAAATGATTTTACAGAGAAAAGTTGGCCGAAGCGATGGAGATAAGAAGGCAGCGATGGAGTGTGATGAGCCGACGTGCAAGAAGACGGTTCAACTAACGACTACATTCACGAATGCACTGATCGCAGAAATCAACGCCGCCGCCGGAAGATCAACGTTGACAGTGACAATCAAGTAGAACTTTAGTGTTGCTTTTGTGTCTTTTGAGATTTTATTAGATGAAGAATACATAACTAATTTATGTGTGTTTGGAATACTTTAAAACCTATTAAGTTTGGACTCAATTATCTCGGCTCCTATAAAAGATATCAAAAATGTGTCAACTGATAAAATGTTTGTGATGCTATGATAAACAATTTATCAGTTTGCAACATTTTTGTATCTTTGATCATAGGTTTTACAATATGTGTGTTGAAAAAATTTAGAAAAAAGATCCGAAAATCTAAAGAAAAGATACCCGATCAAAAAATTTTAAAAATTCTGAATCTTCACAGACGTGACGATGACTCCCAGAAGAAAAAAAAATTTTCGATCAGAATTTTTTTTTGAGATTGGCTTTGTAATGAAAAATGTTGGTGTAAATCAAAAAAATTTTGAAGCGGTTTGGAACACTTGCTCTTGAGATGTGCTCACTGAATCATAATAGGTATGGTTCTGGAGTTTAGCTATAACTCGGCTCAAAATGATCCAAATTTTCTCAAAACTTGAGAGAATGTGTGTCTTTAATTGTTTTACAATATACATACAAAACTTTAGACTTTGGGAACAAAAAATTTTGCTTGCTTGTTTTAACCGTTTTTGGTACACAAGAATGAAAAATTATGAAAAGAATTCCGACTTCAAAAGTTTCACTTCCTGACATCTTTTCACATTTCTTTTTTCTTTTTCTTATCAAATCTTTCTTAATTTTTTCAAATCTTTGTTTGATCAATTTTGATTGAATTTGAAATTTTCGATTTTTCAGAATTTTTCAAATTTTCATTTCTTATGTGGGATTGTTGAAAATTCGGTTTTGATTTTCAAACTACAATAACCCTACACATTTCAAATTCAAAAATTCGGAAATTCAGAAACTCAGAAATTCAGAAATTCAGAAGTTCGGAAATTCAGAAATTCAGAAATTCAGAAATTCAGAAATTCAAAAATTCGGAAGTCTATATTTAAAAAATCGGAATTTCCATATGCTTTACAAAGTGTTCAAACTACGAGAATTCCTCAAATCGGTTTCCCTTGCCGATACGCTTATCCGTTCCCTATCTTCTTCTCTTTCTCCTTATCACCTTCTCCTCCAAACCATTACATCACACTTCTCTCATCCCCAACTTTTTTACCCATTCCATCCATCGGATCAATCATCACTCCTTTTCTCTCTCCTTATTCTTCTCTATTTCTTCTTTTCCGAAAAGAAACCTGCCGTGTAGCTGGGGAAGCCAAAAATTCGTTACCTTATTCAAAAAAACCATGGCGCCGACCAAGTTTTTCGTCCATAAAAAGCGGTGCATCTAATCGCTATAAAAGCATGGAATCAGGGTGGAGACGTCTGCCGTTTCATTCGATAATAACTGTGTGAAATGATGGAGGTGGACTCCAATACAAAGGTATGTCAAGTTTTTTGCTACAGTAACTGAAAACCTATTACCGTAATTTCCAGGCTGCATTTTTTTGTAAGAGCTAACATGAGTTTTTTGCTATAGCATGAGGTTTTGGCATGAGCTAACTATGGTCTGACTTTCCCCCATCTTGAAATTTCTAGTCTCCTTTTTTAAGAAAAGCTACAGTACCTGAAAACCTATAACCTAACTTTCCAGGCCTACCGTATCATCGGATACGTCACTGTTACCGTATCCACCTTGGCCATCATTGCCCTATGTGTGACGCTTCCAATCGTTCACAGCTACATCAAGGAGATGCAACACTCGATGAAAGTGGAGATGAATCAGTGCCAGGTACAGTTTCCTCATAAAAATCAGGACCTGCCAATGATTTCAAGGCTTAAAATAGTGCTGAAAGATAGTCTTATGCTGAAATAGACTTAAACCCGCCTAAATTAGGGCTGTAATATGCTCAAAAATAGCTATCAAATAGGCTTAAAATGAACTAGAAATAGGATTAAAGATTGGCTCAAAATTAGGCTTGAAAATTTGCCTGAAACAGGGCTAAAATTAGGCTGGAAATGACATAAAATGAGCTAAAAATGGGCTTAGAATAGGCTCAGCCGCCCCTTTCAGTCTTAGAAATCAAGATGATTGCTCATCCTTAAACTTTCCAGAACAATGCCAAGGTTCTCTGGACCGACGTCTACATGCTGCGTGCATCTTTCAGCCAACGTGGATTCAACCGTACCGCCCGTCAAGCCGGCTACGAGTATTCGAACGATGAAACCACACCATTCGCACCACCCAAGTTCGGCTATCCAGTCGTTGGAGAAACCAAGGAGGAGGCTAATGTGAGTTCTAAATTTGGCGGATAAACAGTACCGGCCATGGCCATTTTGTCCCATTTCAGAAGTCTAGAGCTAAGCTATGAAGTTTCCGATCAATTTGAAAATTTTTGAGGTTATGAAACAGACCTAGATTGAAAACTCTGCAATTGAAAAGTTTTTTGAAAATTGCTAGATTTTCGCTATTTGCTGATTTCTGAAGGGCACCTTTTTCCCGTTGTCAGTACAAAAACAGGCCAAAAAGTGGCGTCCTTGTACTGTGCATTGTCCCATCTAGATTTTTTTCATAATAATCAGAAAATTCATCTCAAACCGTGTAATTCTGTCTAAAAACCAACTTCCTAGCTCATCTAGAACTCGAGATACAGTCATTTGAAGTTTCCTAGGTTAGAGAGGCAGCGTGTCTCGTCGTCTGCGTCTCTGGCCTCCTAAGCTTGAAGCCGCTCTATCTCGATTCCTAGAAGCGCTAGAAATGTGATTTTCAGACAGAATTGTAGAAAATATTGTCTATTTTATAATTAAGAAGACTTTTTTTAAAAGCGAATTTTTCGAAAATTACAAAATTTGTTAAAATGGCCAAAAATCAACTGAAAAATAAGTGTTTTTATTTCTTATGGTGTAAAAATACAAAATTTCAGCCCTATGATGCTCCAGCTCCACCACCACCACCATCTCCACCAAAAACTGAAGCACCAACGACTACAACTACGACTACTACCACGACTACTACCACCACAACCACCACTACCACAGGTTCGGTGGAGCGCATTTGCAAAGTTATCAAATTCAAAAAAGAGAATTTCAGAAGCCCCAACAACCACCACCAGAAGAGCTACCACCACCTCAACAGCTGCTCCAGCCTACCCAGATGCTCACGAAGCTGAGTCAACTCAAGGATATGATGACGTGGCAGTTGTTACTAATGCTCCAGCTACTAAGCCACCAGCACCAACTACAGCGGGACACACAGATGCCCCATCCTACGAGCCAGAACGTCCTACATCCACTCTGGAGTACCTAAAGTCTACAGTACCACCAGAGAAGCCATATGGAGCTGAATCTGGATCGACGACTACTTCCGCACCATTCTCTGAAGTTCATGAGCATACAGACCAGACAGAATCCACGTCGACTTGTGACAACTGTTGCTTGCCAGGACCAGCGGGACCACCAGGAGCGCCAGGACGTCCAGGACCTTCCGGAAAGGCTGGAGCCAATGGGCTTCCAGGAAATCCAGGAAAACCAACAAAGCGCCCATGCAACCCAGTCACCAAGCCACCATGTGCACCATGCCCACAGGGACCTCTTGGACCAGCCGGACCAGCAGGACCACAAGGAAACCGTGGAAGACCAGGAGTGTTCGGAGAGAAGGGACCACAAGGGCCACAAGGACAGCCAGGACAGAAGGGAAGACGTGGAGAGAAAGGAAAGGATGGAGAGCCAGGAGCACCAGGAGCTCCAGGAGAAGACGTCAAGGAGGTGCCAGCCATTCCAGGACCACAAGGACCACCAGGGCCACGTGGAAGACAAGGACCACGTGGAGCGCCGGGAATCCCAGGAAAGGATGGACTCGGAGGAGATCAAGGAGCTCCAGGAGAGCCAGGAGTTGATGGGGAGCCAGGGCTGGATGGAGTTCCAGGAAATCCAGGAAGAGACGGTGTCAATGGACACGGAGGAGAGAAGGGAGTGTGTCCAAAGTATTGCTCAGCCGATGGTGGCGTCTTCTATGAAGATGGAACCAGACGATAGATCACTTCTTAATTTATTATATTTTTTCTATATAAATTATTTTTCAATTTTCAAAAAAGTCATTTGAAGTCACCAACTATTGAAAACGAGCATTAAAAGGGGGACAAAGGAGGTGTGCATTTCGGTTGTTCGCACCTAAAGCACCCAACTCAACGCGCAAACTGATTTATTTTTTCATTCCGAGCTCAAAAAGTTGAATAAAAAAGAAAAAACAGCAAAACCACCAGTGGATATCGAACTTGCGACCTGTTGAACGTTAGCCTAGACCGTACCCACCTACATGCACCACGCGTGTAAAATGCAATGAGCGTGTTTTTTTCCGTTATGAAGCAACACCGCTGCTGCAAGCCGATAAGGTGTTTTTTCATGTTTTCAAGTCAATTTTCTGAGAAAAGAGGGGAATTTGACATTTTTGATGTATAATAAATATTACAGTCAGCACAAAGGTGTGCTCAATGAAAATAATTTATTACCGCTCACCTGAGCATAGAAAATAAGAGAAACAAGAACATATAATATCAGAGCTTTTCCTCGCTGAGCAATGGTAGAGATATTCTGATCGGTGACTGTTTGTCGAGGAATTCTTTCACTTCAAAGCCCATTTTCGAGAACACTTCCGAGCACTTATCGTACAACATCAGCATACAGTAGGCGTCCATCGCCGCGTAGCGAAGCTGAAATTTTTTTTTTCTGGAAAATTTCGATATTTTTTAATAAGATACCTGAAGATTTCTGAGTGGTCTCCTATCCCAAACCGAGCATTGCTCAGTCTTATCCAATGGTTTGCCCAGGAATTTCTCACAGAGATACGAGAGTCCTTTATTCATTAATTGCTGTTTCACAGACTCCTCTTTCACTGGTTTCGGTTCTCCAAGATCTCCTACAGAATCATTCGATATCGATTCGTTCGGAACCGACTTCGTATCATCCTCCTTTCCAATTGCCATCACCGTCGGATCATCAATCAAAAATGGGAGATGATCTCGTTTAAATTCTTCAGCGTGATTCAATTTCGAAACTTCCTCAACTAGATCCATAATCAATTTCCCAACACACAGCACGTTATTCGGTCTATACAGAGTGGCACAGTTTCTGAAACCGGCGCGAAGTTGATGAAGATCCTCTCCGAATTGAAATCCAATTTTTACCACTTCCTTTGTATCGAACAGATAGGAAAGAAACAAATGATACGATTCTGGTGAAATCTGATGAGATTCCAGATCTAGGATATAGACAAGATCGTAGAATGCCATCTGAAGGATCGTCGCTTTGCTCGGGCTCACATAGGCACTCCATTCCGCATCAACACCGACGTAAACGACTTCTTCTCGTGATACTTTGTATTCCAATAGTTTGTGAAGATCTCGGATTTCTTTTTCCGTGGATACCATGAGGATTTGTTGGACTTGAGGAGAAAAGTTCAGGAATTCTTCAGTGGGTTGCAGAGGGTCATCTGTGATGACGTTCTGGTTGAATATCACTGTTGGATGCATCTGGTAAGGCTGCATTCGACGCCAGAATTTCGCTGCTTCATAATCTGAAAATAGTTGAATAACTGGTACGTTTGGATAGCTGATAACTTTGAATTCCGGGACGTTTTTTTTTTTCGAAATTATAGCTTCTCGGACTACCAAAAGTTTCCTTACAGGTTAACGATTCAGAAATTCGGAATTTTAACCCAAATTTTTTGAATTTGGCGCCAAAGTTAGGGCCACGTTGGGAGGAAAACAAGCCGTTTTATAATATAGTTTCAAACCAAAAAAATTCCAGTAGAAAAAGGACCGAAATTTTCGAAAATTCACATTTTTCACTGGAACTTGGTTTTAAAATTTGTCGTTTTGTTGTTCGAAATTATAGGCTTAGGCTAAAACGCCTTGTTTCCCTTTCACTGGGACATTTGGGTGCTCTTTTTTTTGGAGATTTCTCCTTTAAAAATTCCGAAGTTTTCAAGATTTACACAATTCTGTAAGGGAGATTCCGAACATCCCTGCTCGAATTTTTCATTCCACTTTTAGTTTTCGTCGAATCCTACCTCCATAATTTTTTTCCAGAACGTCGACTACGAACTTTTTGAGGTGTGGCCGTTGTGCGAGCACCGTCCAAAGCAGATCGTAGTAGTTCTCGTCCCTCCACGTTTTGTCAACGTATCGTTTTTGACCGAATTTCTTAAGAAATGCAATTAATGCATCTGCATACTCTTTTCTGCCTCACTCACCTTTATAGCAGCACACGCCCATCCGACATGAATTCCAGAGCTTCCTTGATATTCTCCATTCAAATCCTTCACCAACTGTTTGACAGTTTCAATGAAATCTCGATATTTAACACGATCTGGATGCTGTTTATCGATATTAATGGGCGCACTGTGCTGGAATGTCATTGGATCCTTTGAAGCTCGAACGGCTACTCGCAACACTTCTCGACAGCTTCTACGGAACTCGGCGGATCGATTCGCAGCGAACACTTCGACAGTTTGAGCGTTTAGAGGTCCAAGATAGAGAGCGTGAAGAATTGTGGCGGGATTTTTGAAGTGTTGAGTGAGCACTTGATCGTGCATAAAGTAGTTGAGCGCGTTGAAGCTTATAAGCCCATCTTCAGTGTTTTTGGCTATGATTTCTCCGAAAACTTCCATTTGATGAGGGCTATTCGATGGGCATAACACATACTTTGCAGTTTTCCACAGTTTCGACTGAAAAAGGTTTGAGTTTTTTTGAAGCGACTAATTCACTACTCACCTCTGCAGCCAGTGGGATTTTTAACATCTCTTCCAACAATTTGACTGAAAGCTCATCTGAAAGTGTTACTCTCGGGTTTATAGTGACATTCTTTCCGCGCTTTGCAGCTTGACTGTTTCTCCGCTTTTTTCGCGATCCTCCTTCTTCTCCATCCGACTTATTACCCTCTTGTCGACTTCTATCAGAAGGTCCTGGCTCGTCTTTCTTCGTATCCTTAATATCATTTGGCACAAATCTCTGTTGTGGTAATTGATAAGCGAGAATCATATTCAGTAACAACTCGGGGACCGAGACAAAAGAATGAGGGAAACCGTTGGCTCCGATGCGACTTTTCTGATGGGAGTGCATCCAAGTGTGACATTCTCCCAACATTCCAACGTATAGAGGACCGAGAACTTCCGTTTCGATTGGATCGAACATCTTCTTCGCAAACTGTTTGAAATCGAATCGGCCGGTGAATTTCGATGTAGCCCTCTCGTTGGCCATGTAGAACTGTAGCACATCTTTCTGAAAAGAAAATAATTCGCCTTTTTGTCACATTAATCTCAGTGAACCTCGTAGTTTTTGACTGTGTTGTGTAGAACATTTAGTGCGTTCGTGCTGCTCATAAAATCACAGGTCATTCTTTCGCATTCCCCGGAGTACACCCTCTTTGCTGATCTCCTGTAACAGAGCTTTTATTAAATTTTTTATTCACAAGAATTTCAGAATTTTTCACACGAATTTCGAAGAAAAACGGTGCAAAAAACCGAACGGAAGCGATGGAATTGAGTTGGAATTTACATTTTTGGTGCGGAGTGTCGTTTGCGCGCATTGTTTAGCGGCATGAAGCTCCGCCCACTTTCGGGAATTGCGCGCTGAAAATTGAGGTAATTTAGTCGGAATGTGGGTTATTATTTATTGTCGGATTAAAAAAAGTGACACCTCGGAGACGGCGCTCGTGTCGATTTACGAGGGGGCGGAGCGAAAACGGATACTGTAGATAAAAAATTTATTTATGTGAATTTAGTGGGATTTTCTGAACAAAATTTTGATTTCTTGATATAAATATGATCGCTAGCATCTCTAGAATCTATTTTTCAGCAAAAAACTAAGCTTAAACGCGAAAGTAGCTCGAACGAGGCGGAAATCTGAAATATTACGTTTTTGCCGCACTTTTTCGTAGATCAAAAAAATCAAAAGTTTTCAAATTCTCAGGTGTCCTTTTTTTAATTCGACAATATAAAAATAAGTGTGCATGACAATGGAAAAAAAAACGCTGGTTGTATTGAAAACAAAGATGTGTCTTCTCAATGGCAATTTTTTCAGCGAAAGAAAAAGAACTCGGATAGACTTCGAATATAGACTTCGAATTCCGGAATAAATTGTTTTTGAAAATTTTGGCTTTTTTGGAATATTCCAAATTTCGGAATTTCACATCAAAAACGCTGAAAATAGGTGAAATACTGGCAAACAGATTTCGAAAATAGACGAAAAATATTACAAATGAAATTCCGCTCGAGACCCGTATGGAAACTTTTCGCATGCGCCTTTGACGTACCGTAGTCCAACAAGCTCTAATTCCGAAAACCATCGGGATTCAGTAATTTTGAAAACCAGAATATTCCAAAAATATGAATTTTTGAAAATCGAAGAATTCCGAAAATTTTTTAATCAGAATCTCCGTAATTCTGTTTCGAAACACCCTAAACCTTGAAAAAAAAACTTTATTTCTAAATACAAAAATGTGTACAAATTTTATGAATTTGAGATCGATAAAAACCTAAATAGACAACATTCTTTCTAAAACCCCCAAAACGAAGTTCGGCACTTTTTACAAATTGGTCGACGTATCTGTGGAGGAATGAATAGAAGAAGGACAACCGAAAATAGTCCGTAAGGGAAAAATGATATAGATAAAGCCATTGTAGTCAAGACAAGCCATATGATTCGAGCGTGACGAGTAGTACGGTGGCGGGTGTATCTCGACGTCTGCAAGAGTTTTTATTCGATGATTCTAGTCCGGCGCCGAGGAACTATGTGACCGAAAATTTATTCAAAGGCGAACAGCCGGTACTACGGTTTTTACAAATAAATGCATGCGCCTTTGATACAGTACTTCGAAATTACCCCCATTTCCCGGAATTTTCCCTATTTCCCGCAAAATTTTGCTTGTTTTCTTTTAAATCCCTCACATTCTCATGTATAATCAGCTGATTTTCCTTAAAAAGTAGAAAAACTGCCTAAAATGGGTCAAAGTTAAACAATTCCGAAGTACTGTACCAAAGGCGCACGATTTTATTTGAAAAAAATAGCCGTAGCTGTTTTCGTTTTAGGACCGGCTATGTACCAATTTTCGGCCACAAGGTTCATCGGACAAGAATAATAGAACTTACACAACTTTTACAAAGTTCATAAGTTTCTGAACTTCTGCTTCCTGGAGCTGTACTGCTCAACTGAGGATCAATTTGAACTTTATGCTCGTTTAGTAGCGAATTGGTTTCCATTCCAGCCCCATGATCATCTATTTCCTCTTCTGGAAATATATGAACACTTCGAAAATACCGTATTTACTCTAGTATAAACCCACACAATATGTCAACTTTGAGCTCAATTATCTTGGCTCTTGTGAAGGATTTAAAAAAATCTGTAAACTAATAAAATAACGATGATATTATGATAACTAATTTATCAGTTGGAAACTTTTTTACATCTTTCACAGGAACCGAGATAATTGAGCTCAAAGGTGGCGGTTTGCTTCTATTAGAGGATGTACGGTAATAGAAAGTTCTGAGCTCACTTTCAAATATGGGAACAGTCATACTATCCTCAATTCTGACATAATCCGGTTGATAAGGTGTCTGACTGCTGACTTTTCGTATCATACTACCGTAATATGATGTATTCAACCATTGATATAGTTCTGCTTTTTTCTTCGGACTTGGTGCATCCTCTTCTATTATCTTTTCTAAACTGGGCTCCGAATCTGAGAATGTTGAAGATGGTGGCGAGTTTTCAAAGATGTCAAAAATGTTGATCCGGTTTGAGTTGGAATCGAAGGTTCTGAAATAATTCAATTTTTGGAAAAACAGACCCACAGATAGATTTTTCGCCCAAATAATTGTCACCTGCTTTTAACTTCCCCTTCTTTCTCCCTCCCACACACACACATGTCCATCAAAGCTAAAGTGATAAGAACTTGGAACTTTTGAATGATGGTGATGACAAAATGCACAAACTACGTCTTCATAATATTTTTGTGACTGTCTGATGTGACCAAAAATGTGCCGATTGTCTATTTGAAAGTTAAATTTCGAGCTATCAACTTTTTCGTGATAAGTGATAAGGAAATTTTTTGGGGAGAACGAAGATGGAGTTTTATCTTTGTCAGACCGAAAAAATGGATTAGAAAATGATGGTGGAACAGATTTTTGATCATTGATTTTATTGGAAAACTCGAATTCTAGTAAACTGAAAGGAAAAGTTTAGAGTTCGAAGATTCTGAAATACACCAAATCACCAAACTCTCAGAATTAGAAAAAAATCTAGAATTTTTTCTAGAATTTTTCAAATCCTTTAAAAATTAGGAATAACTAAGCCCACAGAATCATGAAATTTAGAAATCTCCAAGTCTCTGAATCTCAGTTTCAGAATCTCCGGACTGTCCACTTTGAACCTATATATCTCTTTCTTTTGAAAAATATCAAAAATTTGTCAACTAATAAAATGTGTATCATGATATCAGCAACATTTGATTAGTTTACCAAGTTTTGATATCTTTCACGGAAAATGAGATACATGGGTTAAAATCTGACGATTCAGGTGGCGTTCTATTAGAGTGTTTACGGTAATTACCAAGACTCAAGTTTGTACTAGCATAGAATTCGAATAAAGCATTGTACAGTACTGTGCTCAAATTTGGAGTACAAAAATTCAAATAATTCATCAGTAAAGTGATCAAGTTTCAAGTTATTTGATCAACTTTGAGCTGAGTTATCACTTGTCAAAGTTGCTCCTTCTCATGAAGATCACATTGCGCCTTTCATCTTTGGACAATCATAACAATACGCGGACTCGAAGAATCGCTTTGAAATTTTCAGTATCTTTGAATCAAACGTAAAATTATATTTCCACCCATTTTCGTGCTTCCAGAATACTTATGTCGGAAGATATACCCGTTTTTATCAGGCCCGGTAATAGTGTGCTATTCTCAAAAACAATACTAGCTAGAACATCAAATAATTTTTTGTTTCAACGATTTGGGACACAAATTAAGGTTAATTGGAAATAAATAATTTTAAAAAAAAGAAAAACGAACCCTTGATGAACGAGCATTTTCAAGTAGATCGTATAACAATAATAATATTAAAAATCAATGACGTGCTCCTCTTCTAGTTTCTCACACAGAAATGATAAGAGAGGCAGGAGAAGAGAGGGAAACGAATGAAAAGTGTGTTAGTATTATTCTATTATGTATATGTGTATTGGTACATTCCAATTTCTCCCCATTCACTGATAAGATAATGACCGTCAGCCGACTCCATCAGTAATCACAATTATCCAGGTTTTGAGGAGAAAACTTTGCTTGTTTTTCGATTGACGTCATTGATGGGTTTCTGAGGTTTTGAGTTTTGTTTTCACAATTAAAAAACTTACTGGTATCCTGAAAGTTATAGTCAATCTTTGAGACAGAATGACATAATTTTCAGAGAAAGCGGTTTTTGAATTGCCGGCAGCACTCTGATAGAAGCCCAGCCAAACCGTCAACTTTGAGCTCAACTATCTCATTTTCTGTAAAAGATATCAAAAAATAGTCAATTGATAAAATGTTTATCACAATATCTTCAAAATTTTATCAGTTAACAAAATTTTGATATCTTTTATAGAAACCGAGATAATAGATCTCTAAGTTGAAACTATTTATGAGGAACTCAGAAAAAAGTGATCAAAGTTAAAAAGGTACATTTTTGCAAAACTGTTTATAAAATTGCTTGTTGCAATACTATTTTTGCAACATTACGACCCCGAAAATCACAATTTTTATCAGTGGAGAAGTTGATGGAAACTCTAAAATAGTGTAATTTTTTGGGAAAATTGGAAGTTCCTTGTAAGCAACTTTTTAAAAGTTTTCCTTATATATAAAACTCATATATATAAACATGTCCGTTCCGTTGTCCGTCTGTCAACTTTTGAAAAACTTGAAAAATAAATATAGATTTGACCCTTTTAGAAAAAGTGAAGAGCGAAGCTAAAAAAAAATCAACATTTTATTAAAAAGAAGTAAAAACGAGATGTGAAAAGATGTCCGGAAGTTAAAGTTTTGAAGTCTGAAGTCGATATGTCCTAGTAGATTCTTCTCTGCTGCCAGAAAGCTCAGCGTACGCTATTTCTTGCTATTTCAATTGTTTCAAAATTTGATTTCGGTCATTTGGTAAAAGGGGGACGTTTAGTGATAAACACCTAGCCATGAACCCCAAACAATGGCGACCCGAGGCCTTTTAGTACTTTTTTTACTTCAATGACGTTGAATAGTTTTCTAAAAAATGAAATAGCAATGAGTAGCGCATCCGAAGCTTCCTGGCAGTTGACAGCATCCAGCATCCGTCAGCATCCGTCCGATCCCGATGATCGTCGTCGAGTAGAGAGTCCAGTAGTCTTCGTAGAAGGATCCCAGCTGCCCTGGAAGCTCGTTTCAAATCGGACTCCTCATCGACTCCTCGGTCCGACTTCTCGTTGATTTCTCTCAGCTTATATAGCCCCTGTACATCAGATCTGAAGATAAGATAAGAAAAGAGTTCACGAAAGTTGTCAGCACGCGGAATTTCTGATATCATAATATCACCAACATTTTCTCAGTTGACACATTTTCGATATCTCTCACAGGAATTGAGATAATTGAGCTTGAAATTGGCACAAACCTGGTCCCGGTGAATCAACAGATAGAGAAGAGTGATGTCAGGTTGCTGGTAGCCAAGAAGAATTTAATCAGTTTGAAGTTTAATTTTTTAAAGATCCTTTGGTTTGGGCCAAGTATAAGCAGAAATTACTCCGAAGATGAGAATGATAAAAATTATTGGGGAGTGCATTTTCTCGGCGAGAAAAAGAGAAAAATAATGGAAAAATTCAGAAAAATGAACTAGAAAAGAAATACCGCATATTCTCTAATAGCACCACCCAAACCGTCAACGTTGAGCTCAATTATCTCCATTCCTGTGATAGATAAAAAATCTGTCAAGTGATTAAAGGTTTATCATAATTTATCATAATATTATCACCAATTTTTTTAAACAATTATGCATAGGATTACTTTTTTTCGAAAATCTTTAGGGTTACTGTAGTTGGAAAATCGAAATCGAAAATTTCAAAAATTTTAACAAAAAAACGAAATATTCAAATTCAATGAAATTTGATAAGACAAAAATTGATCAAACAAAGATTTTATAAGAAAAAGAAAAATGAGTGAATCTCAGAATCTTACCAGCCATCTGCTTTCCGCGCCTCCGGTCCCTGCTTCTAACTTTGAGACACTGATCTTGATTTCGAATCAAAAACTACAGTAATCCGAGGTAAACGATGTTCTTTTTGATTTTTTTTAGTTACAAAAAAGATAAGAGAATTTGCCCACTTTTTTGTTTTCCTCCCATTTGGTGTGCTCTCTGTTTTTAGGTTACTGTAGTGATAGCTGTGAGACCTTTTAACTTTTTTTCAGCGACTGCGGTCATTTTAAGTATCTCTGCGTCCACAAACTTTACGGACTTCGATACTGTGTTGTCAACCCTTTGGTATTTTCTTAGCACATCTCTTTGTAATTTTTTAAATTTATTCAGTACAAAATTCGATAACAATCAAGGAGATCTCTGGAATCTTACTATAGCTATATTATCGATTTTTATTGGAATCGTTATTGTAATCGTATGGACTCCATCTGTTTTTAAGTAACCTATTTAAATTTCTTTATTTTCATCAAAATCAACTCAATATTCAATTTACTTTCTTCCCTTTATTATCAGAGCTAATAAAACGTTTTTTTTTCGAAACTGGCTGTTTTTAAAGTCGGTAAGAGCAGTACAAGTTTTACTAATCGCTGAAAATTCCCGAATTTCCTAAAATAATTAACGATTCTGGTGCTTAAATATTCGACAATTCGACAATACATGTTTATTTGTACAATTCTACAGAAAAATCAGCAGATAATGGGTAACAATGGATAACAATAAAATGGGACAAAAGTTAACATGCGATAAAACGGGTTTCAGATTGAAATTGCACAATTATTATTTACAAATTGTAAATTAGAATTTAACTAGTGCGAAACGGTATAACGGCGACCCGCTTCGCGATTTTCTTGATCCATGGCTCTGTCGTGTTCGGCGGTGGTGTGAGCTTTGAATCCAGTGGCTCCACAAACTCGGCAGACTTGACGGAAGAGCACCGGGCAGCTGAAAAACTTTTGAAAAATTATAAGACTTCTGTTTTTTGCTAATCGTTGTAATATCCTGTCGTCGTAAGAGTCATGCGCCTTTAGGGTAACGGGTTACTGTAGGAATTTTTTTGATTTTTTTCGTAAAAACATCGTGTTTTTAAACAGTTTTCTAACAAATTTTCTATCGATGAGGCAGAATACTTACGTCACTAGTCCCTTCCATTTGATAGAATGAGTCGACCACCGTCCCGGATCGTCTTTTTTCAGAAGAATACCGGATTTTCTCGACTTTGCGCATTCGGTACCGTAGCAGAAACTGCAGCACAACGAGCGAGTCGCTCCAGAATTCTGATACTCGATTCTTTGCCGATACTGAAGATATTGAAGCATTTGAGGCTCCTGTAGTTGCAGTTGAGTCGCCGGTGCTTGCTGATGACGTGGCAGTTGCTGTTGATGCTCCGAATGACGTCGAATTTGTTGCCGTTGTTGGGAAGTCGCCTGAAAACTGCTTGAAAATTTAAATTTTCTCATATAAAAAAAATAAAAATATAGCCTATTCTTTCGGCCTACTTTACAGTTTTTAATCTAATTTTTCTGACATTTCTAGTCTTTTTTCGCCGTTTTTAACCGGTTTTCGCTATCATGTTCCAGAAAAAACTAACCCGAGTGGCGTCGGCGGCAATTTCAGCATGACGGTCAGAGCTGAAACTATCGATTCGGCCAAGGCGAACGGCCCGTTCCTGAAAACTTGAATTATGAAAATCGTTTTAAGATTTCAAACTGAATTTTACCTCGCCAATAACACCGAGCTGGTTGGAAGCGCTGGAAGTGGTCGACGCCTGTCGGTACTCGTCGATGAAATTGCTGCCAGTGAGATATTCGATGGTCGTGGTGTTTCGGAATGGGGACCACTAAAATTCAATAATTTTCAAAAATATATTTAGCTTGAATGGGAACTAACCAAAAAGAGATCTTCTGTGAGAGACATTTTTGCCTGAAAAAAATTCATTAAAAAATAGAGAAAATCACTGGAATTCCATTCTAAAATATTTATTTACTAAGAAAAAAACTGAAATCAACGAAAACAAAATTAGAAAAATCCGTTGAAGAGTGAGAAGAAACAGCGAACGATTGAGCGAAAACGAGCATATATAGAGCGTGGGAAAGCTCCGCCCCTTTTCAGAGATGCGCGAGGGTGCGCGAGGATGAGAGACGCAGAGAAACGATTGCTGATTTGTTTCAGCCTAATTCCTAGAGAAATACCGTCGAAACCTTGTTTCTTTGGGATTCTTTTGATGGAACCTTTGAAATTGAAAATCTGAAATGTTTTTAATTAATAGTATGACGATTACAGACGTTTTCAGCGGAAATTGTTGGTGAAATTGGGTTTTTTTTACAAATCTGAAAATGTTTCACTTACCAAATTGGACAGCCTTTTGATTATGAATCAGTTCTGTAGTTCTTTTGCGATTCGAATCTCCAGTCCATCGACAATTTTTAGCTCCACAGCAGTCCGAAGCATTCTCTCTCAATGTCAACAGAAATACATTCTTTCATATTAGCTTTCGCAGTAGTTTTTCCGGGTTTGAAAACGAAAAATTCTTCGTATTTGTCGTTTCTGATTATTGCAATGTACCGTAAAATTTGTATTAGAAGGGCCCCTTCAATAGAAAAGCTCCTTTCAAAATTTGTTGTTTGAAATTATATGATTCCACACTTTTTCAGTGAAAATATTTATTCCGGAAACTTCCGAAATTTCACAGATATTTTTTTAAAACTAGCTCAATTTTGGTGAATTTGATAGATTTTCATGATTTTTGAACGAAAATTCGTCGAATTTTTCGAGGAAATTTACGGAAAAAATGGCCGGAAAAATAGAAGGGTCGGCTCTTCTAATACAGGTTTAGCGGTATTCAATTAGCATGCTGATTAGCAGTAAACGATTTCTTTAAAAATTGACAAATTTCAGTGTATTTTTTCTGACCAGTATTCACTTTTCCAATGGAGCTATTTTTTTAACTCTTTTAGCGTCGTCTCCTTGTTAACAAGAGTAATTATCATTCTGGTACGAAAAATCAGTGCTTCGGAAGCGAAACGCCGGTATTTAGCCGTTACCGATTAGTTGTCAAATATAGCTTTATTTACATTTCAAAGTGATATATGATAAGAAATAGAATTTCAACAACTTCATAGAGTAGGGATATTGCAGTCTCTGCCACTTTTTGAGTCTTTGGTAGGCTGTGCACGACGGAGAGAAGTACGTGGATTATGCCGCGTTCAAAGTTGATTTCCAGGTGTAATTTCCTGGAAAAACGCTGTCCAAAACTGCGATTGTTTTCCATATTTCCAGGCACACTAAACTACTGTATCACTCGTTTTGACTGTGCTCTTCCTGTTGATTCCTGTCGATTTACGGCGGGTCTCGAAGCGGAGGCCTCTGGAAAACAATGGCAGCTTTGGACAGCGTTTTTCCAGGAAATTACTCTTGGAAATCAACTTTGGACGCGCCATTACAACAGATGGCTGCGAAGAAGGCTGAAAAAATCGCTTTAATTTTAGGAGAAAACTCAAAATCTCTAACCAAAAACAGATTTTCTATAGTTCTTGATAATAAAAATGTTAGGAAGAGGATCGATTGCTGTGAAAACGGCAATTGTCATAGCAATGAAACTGCTTGCAAATCCAATATCAACAGCAATCATTGGGAAAATGAACAGGATTGCAATCGGGATGTAAATGAGGATTAGAGGAATTATTGTCTGAAAACATTAAAAAAATATTTAGATACATACCGTACACCTGTATATAGAAGAGCCATAACTGCTAACTTTGAACCGGAACATCTCGGTTCCTGTGAAAGATATTAAAAATTTGTTAACTTTTAAACTGTTTGTCATAATATTTCACACTTTTTATCCGCTGACACATTTTTGATATCTCTAATAGGAGCTGAGATAATCAAGCTCAAACTTGGCAGCATGGGTGCCCTTCTATTATGGGGTTATTCAGGGAGTCGGCAAAAAAGGAAAGAAACTCCGCGAAAACTCGGAGAGTGTTCCAATTTGGCTGAAACTTTGGGGAAAACTGGAGAAAACTATAGGAAACATTTTGCCAAAATTTGGTGTCAAAATATCGACTTTGAAAATTTGGCTGGAATTTCAGACAAATTTTCAACTAGAAAAAAAAAGATTAACACATCAAAAGAAAACCCGATTCCCATCAGACTATTTATTATGTTGTTCCGAAAGTCTTTTACATTTTTTGACATTTTTTCAACACAAATTTATTCAACGTATGAAATATTTTAGTGATTAATATATTCAGTATTATGGTTCATCACAACCTGCCAACGTTTTGCCAGATGATCGAAGCCTCTCGCGTAGAACACGGGTGGTTGTTGCGCGAAGGAGGCATCCATATACGATTTGGGGTCCGATCTTCTATCGAAGCGTTCACCCTGTTAACCATTCTAAAGACGAGCGGATTAAATAAAATTCTGATAGAGCGAGGTCTGGACTATATGATGGATAACCGAGTATTTGGATACCTAGACCCTGCATTTTTAGGCGAGTGGCCAAAGTCGTGTGCAGGTGCGCATCATCGTGAAGCAGAACAAATGTGTCCGCTTCTGGACGCAGAGCACGATACGTATTGAATACTTTTTGCAGTTGGCGACAGTATATGTCCGTGGTAACGATCGCACATTTGGGAGCAAGCTCTCTATAGATCAGACATGACAATACCACCAAATGCTCAACATCTCCCTTTATTTAAGAATTTCTCCTTTGTGATTGATTTCTGGAGTTTGGCAAACCTTGATCCACTGAAGCTTTCTGTTTTTTTCAACCTACAGACACCCTTTATTGTTTGCTGACACAAGATGATGGATCCCATCGAAGGTTCGCTTACGAGTGAGCAAAGACCAACTCAAGTCACAACTAGTTTTAATCGGTGAAGCACTGAAATAGTGTGGCACCAGTGGACCATATTTTTCTCTATGTCCCGAACTTCAAAGATGATGAAATGCTATCATAGTAGGTAGACCGCACTACAAGATACTCAAGTGACTTATCACCAATTACGGAGCATATAGATCGGTGAGCAGAGGCATCGGATCCTCCTTTGAGAAACTCAAAAAGAAGGCAACCTCAAATATCATGGGTTTTGTTGGCGAGGCTCTCGGCCGTGGACTGAGATTTTTTGAAAAAGACTGACAATTATTATTGAACATGAGTTAAAGATTCTTAAAACAAAAAAAGAAAACGAAAATCGATCGGCAAGAATGTATAAAATGCGTGCTCAAGAAATGTAAAAGACTTTCGGAACAACCTAATACATCATATAATCATCGGTAGAGGTATAGAAATGAAAACAAAAATAACATAGAATGGACCACCGGCCTCCATAGAAAATTAGAATTAAAAACAGAATATAAATTTTGTTTCCTCCCAACCACCGATCTCTGAATTCCTTAGCAACTGCACCGTATCGATAGATGAAGTGAACACCGAAAATTGCTAAAGAGATTCCAAAAAAACCAGAATAAATGGTAATTAGATTGAAGCTTTGCTCACGGTCAAAGTACGAATTCTTGAATGTTCGAAAAACGACAAATGCCACTTTATAAGAATGAACCATCTGGAAACATCAAAAATTATATTAAAAACAACTTCTTAGATACCGGTACAGTAACCACATCCAAAAGGAGTAGAGAGCTTCAAAACTTGAAATATATATCATAAGATACTTGTACATTCCGAGCTTCTTTGGAGAATGTGTGAGGATGAGGAAAATGAGAACGGAATTCAAAGAGACTGAGATAATGGCGGAAGAATACTGTACATTTTTGAGGGAGATATTCCAAAACTCAATGATTTGCATGGGGAAACAATGAGGATTTTTAAATTGCTTTAATTATTTGATTTCACACTAATTTCTTTTTGGGAGAAGGGGGCGGAGCCTGGCGGATAAGGTATTCTTGGAGTGTCTAGACTGTGCTTTCCGATAGAGTATAATCTCGAGGGATTCAGACAGAAAAGCATAAACTTTAAATGGAAGTGGACAGTTTCGAAAAAAAATAGAATCCCGAATGAGTTGGGATTCGTATGGGTACAAAAAAATGTTTTCAAATTACGGTAGTTTTCCTGAATTTCTGATTTCGCCTGATTTTCCTGACCTCAGGGTTTCTTGATTTTTAGATTTTCAGATTTTTCAGAAGTTCAGAGTTTCCTGATTCTACCTGAACTTCATGACTTTTAGAGTTTTTCAGATCTTTCAGATTACCAATTTCATGATTTTCAGAATCTCATACTTTTCTAGATCTTTTGGTTTTTCTGAATTTTCATACTTTCTGATTTTTCATTATTTTTTTGATGTTCCTGAACATCTGAATATCCGAGTTCTGGTTTTTTGAACTTTTTGATTTTCCTGATTTTTGGTTTCCATAATTTCTTGATTTTTTGATTTTCCCTATTTTTAGATTTTTCCCAATTTTCAGATTTTTTGTATTTCCTTTTTTTTCAGAATTATCAGATTTTCGACATGTGTCGTCAACATTCAAAAATGCTTCCTTGCTGATTCTTTTTATATTTCAAGAGAAGTAGTTTTTTTAAATTTCTGAATTAATGAGCTCCCGATTTTTCCCTGATATTCTGAATATCTACAACCAAGGACGTGTAGATTTGAAGTTTTATATGGTGCATCGTCCAGAAATTTGTCTCAAATTTAATGATTTTTATTTGACCCAAACGTCTTTGTTGTCTCATTTAAATGTAACTGTTTATCAAAGACTAGATCCCAAAAAACCTTTAGCTTTTTAACCCCAACAAAACAGATTCTTCAAATTTTAAAAATTGACTGTAAAACAGTTTCCAGAGAAGATACTTTTCTCTATTTTTTGTCTGACAAATTTCTTTAATAATTAAAAATAATTCAATAATTAAAGCTAAGAAAATCATTCCAGTATATTGGGTGGTAGCCCCTTTCCACTAACGGAGTGCAAACGCGCTCCAGCGACATGCGATAGAGAGGGGGAGACCCATCTTGCTAGTGCGGGAAACCATGTACTAGCACAACAACAATAAATTTTCCTTGTTTTTTTCCGCTGATCATTTCCGATCCATTGATCACAAGATTCCATAAAACGTTTTTTCAAAAATTATTTTTTAAAAATATGTTTTAAAGTACTTTCAATATTAAAAAAATACATTTTTTATATATTTAAAAAGAATCTCTTTATATATAAAAATACTTCAGTTTTTTTATATGTTTACAGAAATGGAAGAACCAACTACACAGCAGGCAATGAAGGCAAAGGAACTAGTGAGAAAGGAGCAGGAGGATCTAATGGAGGAACTGTCACAAATGGTTTTTGCAAATGGTGGTGGATCCTCTCAGAATACAGAAAATTCATTTGTACTTTTGGTGAGTTGATTGACTTTGAAATCTTCTGTTTAAATCAATATTTTAAACGGGGCCCTGGTGGACCTCCGCGAACCCTACTATAGTGAATGGCTTTTCGGACAAGGAACAGTTTTTCGAATAACATCATATTGTAGTACTCGTCGAGTTTTATCATATTTGATTATTTTTTCCAAAAATATTGGTTCTAAAAGAAAATATGGCTGAGCCCGGTTTCCGAGTATGGTTTAAAATTGTTTGTTCCAGGACGAAGAAAACCAACATACGAATGTCTCCTCCCTGATCAACTGTGAGCACAAATTCATTGAAGCCTACATAGCTGCACTCGGGGATGCCTACCAGAAATCTAGAAAAAGAGTCGTTGAACAACAGAAATTTATGTCCAATTTCTACTTATTGGTCACTTCTGAAGAGCCACTGATTGATAGTGATGGCGAGAGACTGGCAAAAACATCCTGCTATATATCAGCCATGTATAAAAACTTGGTCCAACTCAAAAACGACGTCACAACTATGTTTGAAGCGATTCGGCAGATCAAAAGTGAAGGAAACTCCAACGTCTTCCAACTGCACAACTCCTTTGGATTTCAGAGGATTTGGAGACAAGCAGCAGAAGTGATGTATATGTTTGTTGCTGTTGATCATATTGCTAACACTTTCCCGAATCTTGGAAAACAATTGGCACAGTATCAACTGTAAGACTTTTTGAAAAAATAATTATAATCTTTATCTTTATATATGTTAGGAAGCTTCGACAAAAAATTAACAATGAAGGAACTGTGGAAGAGAAAATGAAATATACGGAAAATGGAATTGCACAAGAGGAAGCACACAAAATGATAATGCAAGGAGGTTTCTTTAGGGTTCGTTTTAAAATTTTATTTTTGGAATTTCTTCCAGTTTTTAAGAATTGTCAGATATTTTGAAGTTTAAAAGAAATTTAGATTTAAAGGGGGACTACGACTAAAAATTTTTATTGCATTAAAATGTGTTAAAAGTTATCTATTTTCCGAATATTATTGCGAAAAAAATATAAAAAAATCCGAAATTCCCAAAAAACGCCGTTGAAAAGGAAGAAAATTCAAACAAAGGTGCCGCCGGGGGACGAGGATTTTCAGTGAAAAACCTATCCCACGGCAGCGGGCGCCTTTCCTATGTGGCAAATTTTCCGGATTTTTTTTCAATTTCATGTCCGGCAGGTAAAAAACGTAAAAAACCACTGTCGGCGACTTGAAAAAAAGGCTGTCAGGTGCCGTGGCCTAGGTTTCTCACTGAAAATCCTCGTCCCCCGGCGGCACCTTTTTTTGAATTTTCTTCCTTTTCAACGCCGTTTTTCGGGGATTTCGGATTTTCTTTGAATTTTTTCGCAATAATATTTGAAAAATAGATAATCTTTAACACATTTTAATGCAATAAAAATTTCTGGTCGGAGTCCCCCTTTAAATCTATTTTTGGTTGGAAATCTTAATTACTCTATAGAAAGTTTCCCAAAGCTGCAAATCTGGAATTTCTGAGCTCACTATCAGAGAGCAGTCAAAAATTGACTCCCGGATTCCCAAAATTTTCAATTCTCACAGTTGGAATTAGTGCTACCGTATATCCCTCTCTTGCCGAGACCCGCAACAAGTCTTGAGCGGATTTTTGAAAAAAAAAAGACACACAAATTTTAAAAATCCTATTAAAATAGGATACATTTTTGTGGGTCTCAATACGCTGAGGAGGGTACGGTCCAGCTGAACTATACTGTGCAAACTGAAAATTTTGGGGATCTGGGTGTGAGTTTGGACTGATTGATCTGGGACCAGAAATCTTAGGTCGGGAAACTTCATAATGCGGAAATATGATTTCGTTTGAAAACTGATTTTTCCAGGCCTACTACGAATCCAACAGTGGAGAAATCGACAAATGTCCAATATTCGCTAGAGAAATGGCTCTCGCTCTTCAAGAAATGCTAGAGAACTGGGAGAAATCCTTTAAAGATTCTGGAAAATCCGATGATCGACTATTCTGTAGAATCACCGCCATGACAGTCTTCTACTACCACCACTTTTACAATTTTGTCGATTTATCATTTATCAAAAAAGTGGTTCATGCAGCCAAGAAGGTTCCATTCTGTCGATGGATTGCTGAGGAAATTTTTGTTCCGCTGGAATTTCTTCGATTTGAAATTTCCAGCAAAAAAGTTTTCGATGGGAAATTAGTCACTCATTGCAAGAAGATGGTAGAAGACGCCAGGAATTATGGAAAAGGTCAAGAATTGGAATTGGTGAAGGAAATTAAAACGTATTGTCAGTATGCAGTCACTTGGACAGAAGAATTTAAATCAAAGAAAAGGGAGATGGATCGAGGACCGAAAAATCTTGCACAATGGGGATTAGATGTCTCTGAACTATTCTTGAAACTCATTCGAATTCTCAATCATCTCGTTCGCAATTTTTTCCTTCTCATTCGATCCATTAGAAGCGAAGAAGAATTTCATGTTCTCAAAATGGATAAGACCACTCAAATCACAATTTGCACAACAATCGAAACAATCAAAATTGTTGAAAATGTTGTTTTGAAACACTGGCGAATTGTAGACGAAGGTGCTTTTTTGGCGAGACAGCAGTGGAGGAAACACTTGCTTCGAATTATGGAAGATGCTAAGAAATCGTATGTTGGTTCGAAGAACAAGATCAAAGTGGAAGAGATTGCAAAGTTGAGCCTGTTCCATATTGCTGAATCACAACTGGTTGGAGAAAGTGAGTAGGATACCAATACCGTTAAACCTCCAATAGAAGGGTCCCATAACTTTTAGCTTTGAACCAATTTTTTTCGGCTCCTGTAAAAATATCAAAAATGTGTATTCTGATAAATTATTTACCATAATATTATCAATATTTTATCAGTTGACACATTTTTGATATGATTTTCATGAACCTAGATAAATTGGCTTAAAGTTGAGGGTCCGGATGGGCTTCTACTAGCGGAAATATGGTATTAGGTTGATAAGAAAGTTTCTTTCGTTTTGGCAGAGTTGTTTTTGAGGATCGATATTTGGCGCTCCAAGTGGTTTAGCGGTCGAAATTTTTTTTTGTTAGAGAGATGTGTTCAGTGGCTATTAGATCCTAGATTTTCAAAGTTTTATCTCTCTTCGTGTTGAAGAAATGGCGATTGTTTTAGTCCTTATCCGACTGCACATTGGCAACTTGATTATATTTTTATTTTTATTCGGTCTTCAAACAGCTGGTATTTGGAAAAAAATTGTGGATGTATATAAGGGACATGTTCCGTCATCGCCTACAATTTGTCTTTTGTTAGAGGAATTCCAAACAAGAGAGTTCAGTTTGAAAGGTGCCAACGGCCTAGTGAGTCGGATCTTCATCAATTGCTAAAAACCGGGGAGGTGCATCCATTTCAAACCATTTGTAAAATGTCACAGACATTGTCCTCTAGTCAACCAAGTATTGTGACCGGATCGAAGTTCTTTGGCAAAGTCAAAATCTGGGTTGATTAGTACACCGTGTTTTTCCTGACTACAATATGTTTCGTCATGTAGACATTTGTATGTTTCACCTATCATTTCTTCGCACGTTCAAATGGCTGGATGATTTCATTACTGTAGATAATAAGTGCGTAAGTTACTCTGTCAATGTGCGGAAGGGTCAGTTGATTGCCAAGAAATAGCTAGCTCTGGACGTCCAAGAACCTAAATTTTCCTTAAAAATAGGTATGCTATGAGTTTGATGGTCGGTCAAAGTAATGTACACTGGGAAGTTTTAGTTGAAGGTACCAATGTAACTGCCACCTTGTGTAGTTCATAATTAGAAAATATGAACTTGACAGTCTAGTCAAAAGAGGAGAAAAAACCAAAGTTTGCTTCCAGTGCGGCAATGCGAGATCGCTTGTGAATAGAGGGATCAGCCATAAATGCATGACCTTTGGCTGAATTGTTATTTTGCACTCATCGTATTCTCCGGACCTTGCCCTTCAGGAAAAGTAATATTTCGGAGCTCTTAAACGTCATCTTGATAAAGAATACTTTAAGTGAAAAGATGGCACAAAAAAGGAGAAGTCCCACTATTTCAATCGCAGCCCTCCTCGTTCTAGGCCGATGGAATCAAGAAATTACCGGAGCGTTGCCAGACAACTATTGATGCTAATGGACGTTACTTTCATTGATCTAGCTCCCTCCGCATTGAGAAAAATTTGATCAAAAGTTTTGCCAAAAAAGAAAGAAACTTTCTTATCAACCTAATAATTTAGGTCAAGTGTTTTGAAATTTTCATTTGATTGTTATTGAAAAATGTTTGGGATTCTAAAAAAATTAGTTTTGAAAACTTCTAAAAGTTGGATTTTTCAGTGAACCCATCCAAAAATCTCGCTTTCAACCTAGCCTACGAATTCGGTCGATTGGATCTTCATGTTTCTGGTTCTGACAAACAACAAGTTCAAGATTTGATGAGCCGTCTGGACACTTCAACTGTCCACGTGGTCTTCTGGAACGAGCTGCCTATACTGGTCTCATCGTAACAGATCGAACCGTTATGATTACCTATTTTGATACAATGTTCCAAAGAAGACCGGATGAAAATTGTATTAAAGTGAGTTCTGTTTAGATTGTGAGTAATTAATTGGAAACATTTTTATTTCAGGCTTTCACTTCTGCAATTGGGGGATGCCTGAAGGCTAGCGTAGCCACAGGTCATAATGATGTTATTCTTCGGCAATTCAGGACTATTGTGGAACAGACTCTCTTTGCGGAAATGGTCACCAAAGTCGACACTGATCTTCGTTTGCTTTCCAACCCGAATCTCAAAATTGGAAGATAGTAAGAATTTTTCAATTCCGTAAAGGGCCCCTAACTTTTAACATTAAAGGTGGTGTACNGTGAAATTTTTTATTGCATCAAAATGTGCAGAAATGCATGTAGATTGGCATAAAACTAAAGAAAATATTCAAAAAAAATTCCTTCATCGAGAAAAACGCATCGAAAAATACGCTGAAAGCCCTTAGGGACAAGGTTTTTTCTAGGCCGCCCGGTGAGTAAAATCGCGCGAATTCTAACTTT